TGTTGCAATAATGTCCTTAAGAAAGACAAGAAAGTTTGGTCATAATGGAAAACTTGTTGTTGGTAGAAACCAAATACAGCATATCAGCACGGTGGTGGAGGGCTCATGATTTGGGTTGGTTCTGATAGCTTTGCTGTTTTTGGTTTTACAAACTGTTCCCACAAAGTTGGGAGCATAAAATTCTGATGATGATGACTGCTTTGCTTTGTACTTGAATGCAGCCGCTTGGCCATGGAAACCCATTCCATGAAGCTCTCTACACGCTGTTGTTGCGCTAATCTTTAGGCTACATGAAGTTTGGAGGTCTGTAACAATTGACTCTGCAGAAAGTTGGCAACTTCTGTACACTATGCTCCTCACAATCTGCGTGTTTAACACAGAAAATAACTAAACTAAAAAAAAATGAACATGCAGCTTTGTTTTAAAAGCCTTTATTTCACAGATATGAGGAAATCACTGATTTTACAATGACATGGCCAGTGAGCTTCACAGCAATGATGGCGACTTTTCGAAAAATGTTACAGAGTGTTAATTAAAACAAAGACAGAGAAAGATGGGATTAAACAAATTATAATTTTGTTTTAAGACAGCATTTCTTGTTAAGACTTATGTAATAAAACCTTTATCCGAAGGGCACAGCTTGTTAAAGACTGAACTGAAGGAAATGCCTCTGGTGTGGTGCTCACAAAATATACACAAGTAGTTAGTAAATACAGCCTGGGCAATCTGAGATGTGAAATGTGTCTGTTCAGTCAGCAATATAACGGAATAACATGTGCCTGATAGCAGGGAGAAAGACCGTCCTGATCTATCAGCAGCAGCTTTACAGACATCAGTGTTAATATGAGAAACAACAAAAACAGCAGACGAGTTTGAGGTGCTTCCAGTTGGTTCTTCTTCACATTTCTTTGGCGCTCAGAGGACTGATGGGAAATGTCTACACATTAAGAATGAAACAGTTATGATCTGTTGATGATGCACTCTGCTGCATGGCTTTATGTCTTAACTATGTTTCGTACCATCAAAGGGTGTGAGGACCTTTTTTTTTTTTTGTCTCTCAGAAGAGTCCATTGACCTGTTCGGTCTCGGGGTCCAGGTCGATGTCATAGAAACAAGGCCGAGTGGGGAGGCCAGGGATGGTGGGCATCTAGGATAAAC